TCTCTGCCCTATTTGAAATCTATTCGTTCCTGTTGGCAGATGGTGGAATGTTCGAGGGATTTGAAAGCTCTTCTCTGCCCTTGCTGTAGAGTGAGTGAACCACACTCCAACCTTTCCACAGTTACTCCAGCCACTCCAACCACACAACAGTTAGTCAAGCCACTCCACCCACTCCGGTTGTAGACTACTGGTGGAGGCAAGAACACTTCACACAATTTCCCCAGAAATTGTAGTTTTTCTAGTTCTGCAAAGTTATTTAAAGGGACTCTCCAGGAAGCCCGTTTTACTCACCTGGTTCCAGAGCCGGAAGCCTCTTGAAGCTGCGCCCCCTATTTTGTCAAAATGACAAAATAGGCATTCGTAAGCAGGGAACAATCAGACGCTTCCATTTGGAAGCGCAATTGCTCCCTTGTGCGCATGCGCACATACTTCATAGGGCAGCACTCAGCTCGCGGTCTTTGCTCACCCCCTCTCCTCTGTTGACAGACAGGAGAGAGAAGGCGCTCACATAGTGCCTTCTCTCTCCTGCACACGTCAGACATATTTTACATGATAGGAAGTCCCTCTGGTGGCCGTCTGAGTGACAGCCACTGGAGGTATTCCTATCAATCAATCTAAACACTGTATTTTCTCTGAAAATACAGTGTTTACATTAGATTGCCTGCATGGAGCTATAGATCTCACCTGAACAACTACATTGAGCTGTAGTTGTTCAGGTGACTATAGTGTCCCTTTAAAAAAAAACAAAAAAAATCCAACAATTCTTAAGGTGGCATGCTAACATGTTAAATCAAAAGTGAGTCAAAAAAATGAGGTATCCAGTGAAAAAGTGAATACCCAAAGCTTCAAACGCCCGACGCGCGTTTCGGTGCAGTGCTACATGCACCTTCGTCAGGGTCTCCTGACTGCACTGAAACACCTTTTTCCTCCCTTTTGTCTCTATGTCTATCTAGCAAGATTACCAGGGAGAGAGGCTTTGCTGCATTATTAATTCATGCCAATATTTTACTGAAATTATAACGTTCTTGCTATCCCTTCCTCTCCATTACTTGCTTTCTGTGATTATCTGAGCACAATCTTTGGCTATGGACAGCATAGTTCCATTGGACAGCTTGTTAGACTAGTTGTTATAATTACCATCACTTGTTGATATATAGCTATACAACCTAATAAGCCACTTGTATTCAGAAGGAGTACTAAATAACTCATCTAAATAATATACTCCTATAGTAACTCTAATACTCCTGGTTTATATATTTCATGGGAGCCATACCAATAAAGCTATTTTTACCTAATCAGGAATAATATTGAGACCACTATCTGACTTTTCTTATATTGACATAGAAATTATGACTACACAGACCTGGTGTATTTCAAAGCCTGCAATTCTCTAGATACATATTGCTGTATACTTTTTTTTTAGCTATATATATTCTCTATATAATTTTCAACTGACTACTACAATTATCTCCAGGCTGGGGAGGCATAGTCACCTTTAGTGTACTTGCATACCTCTTTTCATATTTTTGTAAAGTTGGCACTAGTGGGTTAGCCCTTAGAGAGATCCCTGGAATCTCTCATCGATGCTCTGTTTGTTTGGACCACTGAGACCACTATTTTTGTTACATATTAATTATAGTAAATACTTTATTGAGATATGGAAACTATGGAATTTTTCTTCAGACATTGAGGGATATCTACTAATTTTAATAGCAGGGACTCCTCCTCAGCTGGTTATCCCAAAGTACAGTCAGGTACAAGTAAAATACTCCAAGAATCTCCCACCACCTCCCCAGCAACTGGACGACACACAGCTCCGGGGGTACAACTGAATTCTATTGTCACATACACGGCTTTTATGCCAAATCCCATGCAAGGGGTTTCACACACAAGAAATGCAGGGGTTTTAATCCCAGAATCATCTGTGCCTGAGAGATAATTGCCTGAGAAAGCTCCTCTAATTTAATTATCTCAGGTACAGAAAATCCACAATATAGCCTGTACCCCAAAAGTACCTCAACCATACATCAGAACCCCACGAAAAGTACATTCGATAGCCCCGATCTGAGTGACCAACATATCCAAGAATCCCTCAGATCGGTTTGGTAGAACAAGAATGGCATTGTGTCAAAGTTTTGACCGGCCAGGCACGAGGCACTACCCGAAAACAGTTACAGGGAAATTGGTAACCTGGCCGGTCTCTGATCGTGAGGTTCTTGTGCAAACACCATACAAGGGAATGTCTTTATTTAGGGATACGAATGCTCCCCCTGTTCGTTAGTTAATATCTTCTGAACGTCATTGTGTAGGTGGTCGGGAAATGGAACGAGTAGCGGTCTAAGGTTTACCGGCGTGTGCGCAAGTGCCTAGCCGAAAAGTGTTCCAGTCACTCAACGACCAAGTACCGCTGCCCACGTTCGGGAGACAAGATGGCCACCCAGGGGAAGCATTTAGTAATTGTTTCCCTTGCGGTTTTCGCACTTTAATGGGTTGGTGTCAACGTTCTAGTAAAGCACAGGGAAGACTTCATACGAACAGAATCCTTTCGTCTCCCGAACGGCCAAAGAGGAACCACATGAAATAACAGGGAAAAACCCACGAAAAGGTGACAGTTTATAACAGACAGCCATAAAAGGGAAATAAAAGTATCTGGTAAGCGTCCATTCCGCTACATATACATAAAGGAGATTTTTTTGGGTGATGCCAGGCACAGAACTGCCTGCATTGGATATAGTTTTTAGACTATTAATACTTGGCAGTGTTAAAGTGGTACTCCTACCACCATGACCACTTGTGTTTTTAGAAGTGGTCATGGTGGTAGGAGTCTGTATGTGCAGTGTGGCTGCTTGAAACACTGCACATACTGCAATGTTTGTATTTTTGTGCTAGGGGATAGTTGCACAGGTGACTTATGCAACTTGGAACTCTATTTCAGGCTGCCTAATGTCAATTCTGTGCAAAAATTACATTTGTTGACAGGGATGGTGACAGCATAGGTGGTTATGTGTGGTAGCCTGGGGATGCAGCCAATGGTAGATTTTACTAACCTGAAGCGGTCACCCACAGCCGCTTATTCCTTCTTCCGTGGGATCCTCTTCACCTCCTGGTACGTGATCTGTCAGGAGCGGCTCAGATCCCACATCAGTACAGGACACTTACGTATGCATGAGAGTATAACAGTAGATAACTTTATGGAGGATACCACAATATGGAGTGACTCAATAGTAGTGCCATTTTCCATAGACAATGTCTTTTTCCCAAAAGCCATCACTAGTGCAATCCCACATAAGGATACCAAAGTAGGGAGTTATCTACTAAACAACTGGAAGGTGAAAATTTAAGTAGGAAAGCCTTTTTCTTCTAAACAGCTAAAAGAGCAAACAAAAGAAAAAAAAATACCTTTTCTATTTCAGTTGCTTAGTAGATACCCTTAATTCTGGCAATCACTCTTAATAATATCAAATTAGGAAGCAATTGCAAAAGAGCTAATCCTGAGAGCCACAAGTGCATTTATAAATGCAGTACCTAAAGAGGTTGGAATCAAGTGTTGATATCTGCTTGGGAAAGGAACTCAAAAGACAGAGGGGACAGACAATACCTGCCTGAAAAAAGGGAACTTCAGCCTGGTCCAGCAACAGTGCAATGCCAGATGTCCTGCTCACGACCAACATTGTTCCTTTCATGCTGTATGTTATTTGGAAAGAAGTTGGGACTATATCATTATCTAGCTGTATATTGCAGTTCTATATTTTTGCTAGTGTAGGGAGGGCAGCATGTCTTCTCTTGACAGTCGTCCTATAACTGATACATTGCCATTTGTTCCTCTCTTCATTATTCTGCTATCACGAATCTTTCAATCTTTGGCTTCTATCTAGTCATGGTCTTTCAGCTCAACAATACCCATAATTTCCATTATGATCTACCACCTAAATTTTTGTGATAAGAACATTATTAAACATTTTTCTGTGATCTTTCCCATTACTAAGCATCGCTTGCGTTGATCTCACTTGCGTTAAGCTGGAAGCCTTCATGGCATCCATACTTTTGTTTCTGTCTCCATTTGTGTTTATACAAATTGAGTAAGGCGCACGACCATAAAGGTCTACATGCAAAAAAATATTTATTCAATGGGTACATTGATAAAGGCACTTTTGCCGAAACATTGGGGATGTTTTGGTGATTGACTCTGTCCCTGCTTCTCACTAGGTCTGGTATGCTTGCAATATTTTCTTCTATATGTATTTGCGGGTTTGAATGTATGGGTATTTTATTCTATTATCTATAATACTGATATTTTGCTTTTCATGCATTACGCATTTGGCGATATATATATATATATATATATACACACATATACATATACATATATACACATACATATATATACACACACATCCAGAATCGTTCTGGCTGTTGCTTGATTACATGTTATGATTTTATTTCTTGGTTTCTCATGTAATAAGATACATTGTTAGTGTGTACCCATTGAATAAAGATTTTTTTGTATGTAGACATTTATGTTTTGTATTTGCATGTATCTGGGTTCTTGGGGATAGAGCCTTATGTAAGTAAGCACCCTACATCTTACCATTATAGGGCTCCATTTGGGGCTAGTTTGCATGTTTCATTGGAGTGTGCCTACCTTGTTTTACTTTTTACTCCATTTGTGTTTATCACAGTAAATTATACTTGCAATTTTCTCACCATCCTCAACATCCCAACCACCAATGGAATAGAGAAGGCCTTCCTTACCTGCAGTTCTCACTTGACTGTTGTATGCACAGGTTATGGAACAATCATTACTCTGTATATGGTTCCATCCTCAGAACTTTCTCTGAAAAAAACAAATCACTTTCTCTCCTCTACACGTTTAACCCAGTAATAGATAGTTTAAGAAAAACAGAAATTAGAACATAACTTAAAAAAATGGTTTTTGCTCTGCTCCACAAATAATGTTCACCATTAGAAATACCTCAACAAAGATTAAGTTGGTAATTTCAGGCTCAACTTTTATTTTATTGTATTTTAGCATAAATGCAGATTATGCAAGTAGAAAACTATATGATTGTCAATAAACATTCTAGTACGCTCTAATACAAAGTTTTGTTTTAAAAAATGGAATCAGGGAGGGAGAAAAAGATGATAAAACCCTAGAAGAGGGTGAGGAATTAGGACGAACAAATATTGGAGCTTTTTAAATAAAAATGTTTCCTGGTCTACTAAGGTTTTCTTACCTTTGCAGTCAACGTATCATGCTTTTTTTTTCTAAACTCACAATTTTAGCAAATTAAACCCGTATGATAACATTTACAAATGTAGCGTTGGTTTTGCAAATGTAATTTAATATAATTTGCAGTTTTGTCAGTAACCCTGATAGTTTAGCAGGAAAAAAATATCTTATATCAATATGATCAACGTGAAGACTAATAATTCATGTTTATAATGGAATTACAGAAACATCTTCAGAAATTTTAGAAGATGACTATGAAGTAGATATGGAAGGTATAGGTTGCTCAGTCCCAATCTAATGTTGGACCATTTTGTTGTGTACCAAGTGGTAACTTTATCCCTAAATATAATTTTATTTAATAAAGTGTGCGTTTAAAACTAACGCTTCTTCTGTACTTGTTATCAGTGGAGGACAAAATATTGGACATCCCATATTTATGTATTACAGCATTAGAAAAATTAAATATTGAGATTCAGTTTGAATTACTCCCAGTCTGCAAAACAAGGTGTGATGACAGTGGTGTCATGCTAAGACAACCCTGGCCATATGAAGAAAACCAATCAAGACATGTCCTGGAAATTTTGATAATTTACGTTCTCATGTCTTTATGTGGCTGACATGCTCACGGCTAGTTGCTTCGCACATAAAGCTCATTCTCGCTTTACTCAAATTAGCTTGTTCAATATACACAGAAAAAGTAAAAAAAAAAAAAAAAGTGTAGCATTTTTAGAATGTACCGGTACATTTCTTTATGTGTTGCTTATTGTTGTGCCTCTAATAAATAAAGAAAAAACTTATATCAGTTTCTGGTAGAACAAAAAACAATAAAAATGTAAATCTCTTTCTTAATGTCAATGAATTCCAACATTACTTAACTAGTTCACTTATACAAATTAGAATTATATAAAGAGAACCAAAGCTCTCTCCCTTTTATATTCAGGGGCTGTTTTTGTGAATTCTAGTAAACGGTGTCCTTATACAATTAGAATCTTGTTTGTCAGATATAAATATAATAAGAAAGACTAAATCTCATTTACTATTATATATACACTACTTCTTTTTACATAAAAAACTCATATATCTTTAACAAAATATACATTACTTACAAAACAATGTTTAAATCCAAAATGGATTCATATAAAATTTGAGTTTGAATCCCAGCCACCTGTTCTCGGTATTCGTAGTAGACCATTTAGCGTGTCCTTAATTTTCTTCAATACTGGGGGAGTCAGTTTAAATGCAGCAGACGTTTCTGTAATAATTAAACGCTTTAGGTTTTTAGGCAGTGCATGCTTACCCCTAGAACCATCATAGTTGGTGTTGTGCGTCCATGTTTTATATACTGAATAAGGTACGTGATGTTGAAATAAGAGCTGAGCGTATCGATGAGGTTGTCCACGACTCTGCATCTTAAAATTGTTCAACAAACCCACAGACATAGATGCCAGGGGAATGTCCGGTAATGGATCTCCAACGCAATCTGGGGTACGGAGGCTCTCCATATGTGCTTGCTGTTGTTCTAAAATCTTCGATACAACAATAAAAGCAGGACCTTTGACATTTGGATAGTCATTATTTGATGAACTGGGCAAACGTGGTAGTCTTGCTGTAGTACGTTGACTTAGCAAGCCAGTAGATGGAAGGATGTCATCTTCTGCATCCCTATTGAAATTTGTTGTACATGTGTTGTCATGGTGTGCCTGCTTCTTTTCTGAAATCCTTAAGTGGTTTGGAAAGGAAGTGGTGTTTTCGGGTGGTACTGCAATAGTGGCTGTGGAGGGTAATGTCTTTGCTGAAGTATGCAAAGCTAATGGTACCACAGAAGGAGGAGTATCTGGTAAGGTCTCTCCAGTAGAATCTGCTGTACATGGGCTGTGCGTATGAGAATGTTCTGAAACTTCAGAACGAATAGTGAAAGAGGGGCTATTAAGAGGTGAGAAGTCATTGGTTGGTAATGTTGGTGCAGACATTTTCGCAAATGGATCAATCATATCTTGCGGGTAAGATAACGATGTAAAAGAAGATATTGGCAGAGATGTCTCAGTAGGTTGGTAAATGGGTTCCTGACAATCTCCAAATATCCCCTCATCTTCCTGAAATTGTGTTTGGAATTTGTCAGGCACTTGAAAATGTTCGTCAGGAAACAACGCATTCTTATTTTTAAACTCCTTTAATATGAGGTATATGCTTCTATCAATTTTAGCCACTCGTCTTCCAAGATTAGCAATACTGTGTACCAATTGGGTAAACTGTGCAGAACTGGATAAGTGCAGACGTGTTCTTTTAATAATTCGATGCCTGCTCTGTGGCGACAGCAGGGTGATTTTTGGTACACCAATGCGTCTATGCAGATGTTTTGTGATGGAGCCTGGAGGATTAAAACATTTTTAAATGTAAAAATAACTAATTAACATATAAACATTACTTTAAATCATTGATGATACAATTCATGCAATAGTTCTCCCTAATCCAAAAAAGGAAAAATACAAAAATGTGATCAATTTTACATCGTATGTTTAAAAAAAAATATTTCAGATGTTCAATCTGTTAACATGAAATAGTATATGAAAGAGGTTTATCTACCATATTTCATCAAGCAGGTATGTGAGATTAAAATGATAGTCTGGGGTTGTAGTGTCTCGTGGGCAGAGTAGCTGGGAAATTCAATCCAAGACTACTCGTTTATGAAATCTGTATGAAATGAAAGTTCACACATAGAAATAATGCAGACAGAACTATACTTTAAAAGTGAAGCACAAAGGGATTTTCACTTTACAGGTTCCAAAAAAAATACACGTATAATTGGTACCTGAGCTGCTGTTTGCCATAAATCCAACAGTACTGAACGTCTGTTGATCGGTGTTTACAACATCCTGGTACAGATCCTTGTGTGCCTGTAAGTACTCCCACTCTTCTTTGGTGAAATAGACTGCAACATCATCACACTTCACAGGTACCTAATAAAAACATGATTGTTAAAACAACTGGATTATTTATATTTCTGTTTTTGAGATATATATATATATATCTATATATATAGATAGATAGATAAGGCACAAAAAGGTGTTAAGAACAGATACAAAAAACAAAACAAAACAGAGGTGTACCCAAAATTTTGTAGTATAAAAGTTACAATAGGGAGAAGGCCAACAAGCTGTTTCCACAAAAGGTAACAAAATATTCATAAGGAACGGTGTAAAAGATGAACACTATACTTCCTCTCTTGGCAAACTCATTCATTTGTTTGGATTCTGCTACCCCCTGTACCCTGGTGACACCCAAATGTATCTCTCCTCTCCTGACTTCTCCCCTGCTGTCCTACAACATGTCACAAATTGCCTTTCTTCCATCTCTGAGTGGATGTCCTCCCGCTTTCTGAAACTCAATCTCTGTAAAACTGAGCTCCTTGTCTTGCCTCCTCTTTTGCTCTCCTTTCAAGTTAGTGGTACACACATTAGCCCATCCGTGCAAGCGCGCTGTCTTGGCGTTATACTTGACTCTGGCCTCACCTTTGAGCCTCACATCCAGTCTGTCACCAAATCCTGTCAATTTCATCTTAAAAACATTGCCTGTATCCGCCCCTTTCTTACGCAAGATACTACTAAGGAGCTTGCCCGTGCTCTAGTAATCTCTTGCATGGATTATTGTAACCCTCTTCTAACTGGTCTTCCCAGAAGCCACATTGCCCCGCTACAGTCTGTAATAAATGCTGCCGCCAGACTGATTTTCCTCTACAGTTGCTCCTCTCACACCTCACCCCTCTGTCAGTCCTTACATTGGCTTCCTGAATCTAATAGGAGTCAATTCAAAGTGCTAACCCATACCTATAAAGCACTGAACAATTCTAGCCCCTCATATCTCTTCACTGATCCACAAGTATGACACTTCTCGGTCTCTCCGCTCTCCCCATTACCTTCTCCTGTCCGCTGCTCGCACCCGTACGGCCAACTCACGCTTGCAGGACTTCTCGCGGGTGGCTCCCTTCCTATGGAATAGCCTGCCTACCGCCATCAGACTCTTGCCTAGTCTTCAATCGTTTAAGAAGTCCCTCAAAACCCATCTCTTTAGGAAAGCTTTTGGCCTCCCAGAGTAAGCTCTACCTCACATACCCGTCCATTGCTCTCTCCTAAAGTGCAGCACTCAACTTTCTCCTCCAGCTCTGCTTTACTCTGACCTTGTTTGATTGCTATTTCCTATCCTAATGTGTTTTATACCCCACCTCCTATAGACTGTAAGCTCGTGTGAGCAGGATCCTCTTTAACTTTTTGTAATTCTCTCATTTATTGTTAAATCTCCCCCTCCTATAATATTCTAAAGCGCTACAGAATTTGTTGGCGCCATATAAATGGCAAAAATAATAATAATAATAATAAAAAATAAAAAAACCACACACAAATTGAACAAAAAAATAAAATAACCAGAACAGAAAAATTATTCTTACACAGCGCAATACAAGAGAGAATGGCTTACACAAATTACAAATTTATATATATATATATTTTTTTAATTATTATGAAATATGCAAATAGATTCTAGGGTAGCTACATGTAATCAAATCATGCACATGGCAAAGAAAGAAAGAAAGAAATAAAAAAAAATATAAAAAATATGAACAGGATTTAGAAATAAATTACTGTAATCCGCACCCTGCAAATTGGCACAATTGTATTGTTTTTCTTACACTCCTTTTACATACATTTGCTTTTAAAAAGGTGCATGATACTCGCTGGAGCCAGTAACTAAGCAAAGGTCTTCAATGCTCCATAATTTTTCTCTCCCCAATTTCACCAGCAGAGGGAGCTCTAATAAGGCTCTGGCTTGGCCATACATGGCTGACATTCAAGCAGTTTTAACTAATTATGCTAATGAGCAAGTGGTGCAGCAACTTATCTATGAAGATGCTTTAACAGCTGCACTGTCTGAGCAAATGACATGTTGCAGATCGTGAGCTACACTCCACATATTATGTTTTACTACACGGCCCAAATACAAAAAATAAAAATCACTGCTTAGAGGAAATACTGCAAATGAAAATATGCATGCATTTAACTGGGCATTTTTGCATAGGGGGTATATTTAAAAACAACTTCCAAAAGCTGCAGATCTTTTGTCTGAAGCCTTTGCACATTGAAAATGTTATTTTTTCCAATCCCTATTGCATTACTGTAGGTTAATTCAAAACTAACCATCCTTGGAAAAGTTTGAAAAAAAAAAAAAAATATTCACATATCAGACACAGTACATTGATCTCCTGACAAAAAAGGAGAATATTTCATATTTACATTTTTGGAAGTATTGCTGCAGACATTTTTATGGGAATAACAGCCTAGCATAGTCATCACATATATTATTATATTCGTGCATAGGTTCAACAAGCAGATGTGCACTGCCTCAACAGCTGGTGCAAACAGATCTTTAGACATATTATAACAGTAGTATGACATCAAGGACATTGCACATTTTTTTTTTTATAGAGGGAGTAAACGGGATTAAAGCATAAGCCTACATGTCACAGCAATAAACAGTAAATACTGGTATACGTGATGGGTAGCATGTAGGTGTGAGGATTTCAGATGATAAGAACCACTGGGTCACAATATTAATCATGCTCAACTAACCAAGTTAAAGCTAACCACAGTTAGAAGAAAAAAAAAAAGAAACATTTACAATAGCAAAATTTAAACAAATCAGGTCAGGTAAGCCATAAGGATCTTACGGGCTTCAGTTGGATAAGTGAAAGTCACAAAGTATGAGCTGGACTGCTGCCCTACAAGGGGATGTCCACTCATCTAATGCCCTTGTTTAGAGCGCATAAAGGAGGTAAACCAGGATGCTGCAGGAGCTTGGTGGAAGAAGCCTGGTGGGGCACCACTCACCTGCCACAGGCCGGTAGGAAGGCCAGTATCTGTAATCCACTGACTCAGGGCTCAAAGAGTCCAAGTCCTTCTCCACTAGAGAGAGACAGAAGGCCCATGTGTAGTGCTACCACTGGAAGCAGATGGTCTCATGCCGTGGGGGCGATGCATAGGAATCTCACCCTCAGTGGCCCTCGGCCAAAGAGGCATATAGTGGAGGATTTTGATGGGTGAGGCTCTGGATTTCCCAAAGGGGGTCCCTCTCTCCTTCCGCGGCTCCCCGCCTTCTGCATCCTGTCGAGGTTGGTGCCCCGAGGTAGCCAACCATGTCTCTAAGGTTGGTTTCCTGGGTTTTTCCTGGAGTGTGCCACACAATATTGAGGCAGTCGCCATCTTGAGTAGGTGAGATGCTGTCCAAGATCGCTCAGTGGAGGAGATGTGGAAGCCAGTTTGTAAATATAGTGTGCCAGTGGGGACACCCGCTGGTCCGGGGGGAAAACCGAGCTGCTCTGTATCCTGCAGGGACTCAGTGCCACTCAGTACCAGCGATCTGCTACCTCGCCAGGCAGACGTGAACACCGGGACTCACCCAAACTTCCAGGGATTATAAGTGACTCCCAGGCCCTGGTCATCTGCAGAAGTAGTTCTCTGTTTGGGTGCATTAGTAGTCAATTTTAGCGGTTCTATTTAGAGTTTAGGCTTGCAGCTCGAATGAAACACGTCTAGCCGCCATCCGTATCAGGCCCTGCAGCCATAGTTATCACATTTTAATGTAAAGACTAAGCAGCTTCACATAGCTACACTTAATGTTGATACTAATGTATTGTGTCAAATTACACAGTACTGCTCACCTCTCCTGTGACCATACGAATGTTACGTCTTCTGCTCCGAGAACTCTTCTTCACAACTGTATATTCCTATAATAAAAGAAGAAAAAAAAAAAAGACATGAGAGAATAAAAATAACGGGTATATTGCGTGACTAGTCCAATTTTTACATTTTGTAGCAAACATATCAGTTGCCATTATTATGCCAAACCACTCACAGCTCGTAAATGGATTTAATGTCCTGTTATTAGAGCAATTTAGAATTACATTCACTTGGGTAATACTCCAATAAAAGTAACAAAATGAAACGATAAATTATTCAGATACACTTGGGATGTAGAAAAGCCTTTTTAAAAGGTACCTGCCATGAGACATACAACTTAAATCTTTAAATTATTGAGAATCAAATTTTATATCTACATTGTGCTAGCAGATTTGCTAACAAATTTTTAGGATATCCCCTAAAATCAGATTTTAAAAAACAGCCCTTTCCCACCCGTCTCTGTCAGTCCAGTCTGTACTGATCAGCACAAGCCCCCCCTAGCTTTAATTCAGTCTAAGGGAACATAATGCCTGCAAGTTAAAGTAGGGAGGAGGGGCAGGCCCTGTGTGAGAGTGGCACCACCAGCAGCACAGGAGAGAAACAAACAGAATGATGTATTGCAGCAGCTTTGCACAGGCAATCTGTGAATGCAGAGAGAGAGCAGATATGTTTTATTTACACAAAGTAAACAAAGTGCTGAAGACTGTAGTGGACACAGGAGAACATTTGTTGTTTTTTTCCTCTTTGGTCATATCAATTTTTCTGTTCTTAATTTCAGCTTTCTTCTCCTATAATGGCTCTGTATTCCAATAAATTACCAGTAAATAAAAATAGAGGTGGACGTTCTAACACAGGCCTCACCTCTCCGGTCAACATGTAGATGATTTCTAATGCATAGTTTAAGATCATCTCAGTCTTTTGTTCATCATTTTTCATCTTGTTCATCCTTACTACAGGTCTGACACTCAGAATAGGGACCTACAAGAGATGGAAATATAAAAAAAAATGGTGGAAACATAAAAGAAATGTAAAAAAATATTAGAGCATATGTGAACGTGTTTTTAATTTATAGTTTTACACAATAATAAAAACAAAATCTATAAATGTATAGATAAGGTGCGTTTACATACAAACCAAAGCAATTAAAAAAAGGCTCTAACTCAGCTGGATGTCCAGCTTGACTATTGTAAATTGAAAAGTCAACTTTTAAGACAATACAAAGTTGTGTTCAGTGTATGATAAGATTAAGAATATTTCACTGATTATTTTTTTCTATTATATGATACAATTACAAAATCATTGAAACATCCAAAATAAAAAGTATTACAAACACATTAATTTGTATGTGTTCTTTTCAACAATGCCCAGGAAGCACCACTAGTAGCCATCTGAGTATAGACATGTGATGATACTCTTTGGGTGACATATTCCTGAAATAGTCATGTTACAAACCCATGCTCTGAATAATACTTGAAATCTTTACAGGATGGGACATATCATGACTGAGTATAATCTTGATATACTTTGGTTAGCGGCATTACATATCAAGGAAAAGTAATAGGTCATGGATCATCCTCTGGGTGACCGCAAGTACCTGGACTTGTTACAGGAGGTGATATTTTACATTACTGATGGATGTGACGTATCATACTATGGGTGACAGCGAGTACCTGGACTGGTTACAGGAAGTGACATTTTATATTACTGATGGATGTGATGTATCATACTATGGGTGACAGTGAGTACCTGGACTGGTTACAGGAGGTGACATTTTACATTACTGATGGATGTGATGTATCATACTATGGGTGACAGCGAGTACCTGGACTGGTTACAGGAAGTGACATTTTATATTACTGATGGATGTGATGTATCATACTATGGGTGACAGTGAGTACCTGGACTGGTTACAGGAGGTGACATTTTACATTACTGATGGATGTGATGTATCATACTATGGGTGACAGTGAGTACCTGGACTGGTTACAGGAGGTGACATTTTACATTACTGATGGATGTGATGTATCATACTATGGGTGACAGTGAGTACCTGGACTGGTTACAGGTGACATTTTATATTACTGATGGATGTGATGTATCATACTATGGGTGACAGTGAGTACCTGGACTGGTTACAGGAGGTGACATTTTACATTACTGATGGATGTGATATATCATACTATGCGTTGCAGTGAGTACCTGGACAGGTTACAGGAGGTGACATTTTAGATTACTGATGGATGTGATATATCATACTATGCGTTGCAGTGAGTACCTGGACTGGTTACAGGAGGTGACATTTTACATTACTGATGGATGTGATGTATCATACTATGGGTGACAGTGAGTACCTGGACTGGTTACAGGAGGTGACATTTTACATTACTGATGGATGTATTATATCATACTATGGGTGACAGTGAGTACCTGGACTGGTTACAGGGTGACATTTATATTACTGATGGATGTGGCCATTATCATACTATGGGTGACAGCGGTACCTGGACTGGTTACAGGGTGACATTTTATATTACTGATGGATGTGATGTATCATACTATGGGTGACAGTGAGTACCTGGACTGGTTACAGGAGGTGACATTTTACATTACTGATGGATGTGATGTATCATACTATGGGTGACAGTGAGTACCTGGACTGGTTACAGGAGGTGACATTTTACATTACTGATGGATGTGATGTATCATACTATGGGTGGCAGCGAGTACCTGGACTGGTTACAGGAGGTGACATTTTATATTACTGATGGATGTGACGTATCATACTATGGATGACAGTGAGTACCTGGACTGGTTACAGGAGGTGATATTTTATATTACTGATGGATGTGACGTATCATACTATGGATGACAGTGAGTACCTGGACTGGTTACAGGAGGTGATATTTTACATTACTGATGGATGTGATGTATCATACTATGGGTGACAGTGAGTACCTGGACTGGTTACAGGAGGTGACATTTTACATTACTGATGGATGTGATGCATCATACTATGCGTTGCAGTGAGTACCTAGACTGGTTACAGGAGGTGACATTTTACATTACTGATGGATGTGATGTATCATACTATGGATGACAGTGAGTACCTGGACTGGTTACAGGAGGTGACATTTTATATTACTGATGGATGTGACGTATCATACTATGGATGACAGTGAGTACCTGGACTGGTTACAGGAGGTGATATTTTACATTACTGATGGATGTGATGTATCATACTATGGGTGACAGTGAGTACCTGGACTGGTTACAGGAGGTGACATTTTACATTACTGATGGATGTGATGCATCATACTATGCGTTGCAGTGAGTACCTAGACTGGTTACAGGAGGTGACATTTTACATTACTGATGGATGTGATGCATCATACTATTCGTTGCAGTGAGTACCTAGACTGGTTACAGGAGGTGACATTTTACATTACTGATGGATGTGATGCATCATACTATGGGTGACAGTGAGTACCTGGACTGGTTACAGGAGGTGACATTTTACATTACTGATGGATGTGATATATCATACTATGGGTGACAGTGAGTACCTGGACTGGTTACAGGAGGTGATATTTTACATTAATGATGGATGTGATGTATCATAATATGGGTGACACTGAGTACCTGGACTGGTTACAGGTCACATTTTACATTACTGATGGATGTGATGTATCATACTATGGGTGACAGCGAGTACCTGGACTGGTTACAGGAGGTGACATTTTACATTACTGATGGATGTGATGCATCATGCTATGGGTGACAGCGAGTACCTGGACTGGTTACAGGAGGTGACATTTTACATTACTGATGGATGTGATGCATCATACTATGGGTGACAGTGAGTACCTGAACTGGTTACAGGAGGTGACATTTTACATTACTGATGGATGTGATGTATCATACTATGCGTTGCAGTGAGTACCTGGACTGGTTACAGGAGGTGACATTTTACATTACTGATGGATGTGATGTATCATACTATGGGTGACAGTGAGTACCTGGACTGGTTACAGGTCACATTTTACATTACTGATGGATGTGATGTATCATACTATGGATGACAGTGAGTACCTGGACTGGTTACAGGAGGTGATATTTTACATTACTGATGGATGTGATGTATCATACTATGGGTGACAGTGAGTACCTGGACTGGTTACAGGAGGTGATATTTTACATTACTGATGGATGTGATGTATCATACTATGGGTGACACTGAGTACCTGGACTGGTTACAGGAGGTGATATTTTACATTACTGATGGATGTGATGTATCATACTATGGGTGACACTGAGTACCTGGACTGGTTACAGGTCACATTTTACATTACTGATGGATGTGATGTATCATACTATGGGTGACAGTGAGTACCTGGACTGGTTACAGGTGACATTTTACATTACTGATGGATGTGATGTATCATACTATGGATGACAGTGAGTACCTGGACTGGTTACAGGAGGTGACATTTTACATTACTGATGGATGTGACGTATCATACTATGGATGACAGCGAGTACCTGGACTGGTTACAGGAGGTGACATTTAACATTACTGATGGATGTGATGTATCATACTATGGGTGACAGTGAGTACCTGGACTGGTTACAGGTGACATTTTACATTACTGATGGATGTGATGTATCATACTATGGGTGACAGTGAGTACCTGGACTGGTTACAGGTGACATTTTACATTACTGATGGATGTGATGAATCATACTATGGGTGACAGTGAGTACCTGGACTGGTTACAGGAGGTAACATTTTACATTACTGATGGATGTGATATATCATACTATGGGTGACAGCGAGTACCTGGACTGGTTACAGGAGGTGACATTTTACATTACTGATGGATGTGATGTATCGTACTATGGGTGACAGCGAGTACCTGGAATGGTTACAGGAGGTGACATTTTACATTACTGGTGGATGTGATGTATCATACTATGGGTGACAGTGAGTACCTGGACTGGTTACAGGAGGTAACATTTTACATTACTGATGGATGTGATATATCATACTATGGGTGACAGCGAGTACCTGGACTGGTTACAGGAGGTGACATTTTACATTACTGATGGATGTGATGTATCGTACTATGGGTGACAGCGAGTACCTGGAATGGTTACAGGAGGTGACATTTTACATTACTGATGGATGTGATGTATCATACTATGCGTTGCAGTGAGTACCTGGACTGGTTACAGGAGGTAACATTTTACATTACTGATGGATGTGATATATCATACTATGGGTGACAGCGAGTACCTGGACTGGTTACAGGAGGTGACATTTTACATTACTGATGGATGTGATGTATCGTACTATGGGTGACAGCAAGTACCTGGACTGGTTACAGGAGGTGACATTTTACATTACTGATGGATGTGATGTATCATACTATGGGTGACAGTGAGTACCTGGACTGGTTACAGGTGACATTTTACATTACTGATGGATGTGATGTATCATACTATGCGTTGCAGTGAGTACCTGGACTGGTTACAGGAGGTGACATTTTACATTACTGATGGATGTGATGTATCATAGTATGGGTGACAGCGAGTACCTGGACTGGTTACAGGAGGTGACATTTTACATTACTGATGGATGTGATGTATCATACTATGGGTGACAGTGAGTACCTGGACTGGTTACAGGTGACATTTTATATTACTAACATGTGTTATGAAGTGTTCTTTGTGCCTGCATACTATATGAAAGTATAGTTTTGTCTGTCCATTACTTTAATAAACTATTATGAGTAACTATTCTCCTGTATACACACTGAAAGCTGTTATAAGAAACCTCTATTAATTTACATGGGACATTAACCTCTCCAAACCAGCATTAAATTACATGAACCCTCCATGTTAGCCATCAGTGTACAAGCACAACACATGCAGCCATTCCAACATTTATCATTATCAGCCAGTCCAACATGAATGTTCTAAAACA